TTTCCCCCACTTTGTTTATACATATTCCTTCTTTCTGCTTGTTATCTCCTTAAAACTTAGCTTCATTTGTCCTATGCAGAATCCACACCGCGAAGATATTCTCTTTTGTCATTCACTCAAAGGTTGAAAGTTGCTGTTGACGTTGCACGCTGCCTTGTCTATCTTCATGATAGAGGTATGCCTCATGGAAACCTAAAGCCAACAAACATAATCTTAGCAGGGCCTGATCTCAGTGCATGGGTGACTGATTATGGTTTACACCGCTTAATGATGCCTGTTGGAGTCGCTGAGCAGATTTTGAATCTCGGGGCACTAGGTTATTGTGCTCCTGAACTTTCCAATGCCTCCAAGCCAATGCCCTCATTGAAAGCCGATGTGTATGCATTTGGAGTTATTGTTATGGAAATTTTGACGAGAAGAAGTGCAGGTGACATCATATCAGGGCAATCAGGTGCTGTTGACCTCACAGATTGGGTTCGACTCTGTGATCAAGAAGGGCGGCGCGGTGATTGTATAGATCGCGACATTGCAGGGGGGAGTGAACCCTCGCAAGCGATGGACGATATGCTCGTTATATCCCTTAGGTGTATTCTTCCTGTAAATGAGCGACCTAACATTCGACAAGTCTTTGAAGATCTCTGTTCAATAGCTGGTTGAAAAATCTCTGTACATGGTTTCCCAGTAGCCTCTTACCACAGACTTCCTTCTTGGGTTAGTTTTATTCTTCCCCCCCAGCCCCTTTGGTAGTCTTCTCACTTCTGCAATCGGTTTCGGAAGGCTTGAATGTGGGGTGATTGATCTCATTCTTTATTTCAAATTTTTTCTTGTGTAAAGTTACGATTGATCCCATTGTTCGATTGACACATTTTTTGAGTTTGATGAAGATGGTGCACTGAAAGCTGGCTGCAATTTTTTTTTGGGTGCCTTCTTTCACCATCCCTTGCTTAATTTAATGGTTACTAATGTCATTATTCACATTTCTTGTTCAATTAGGGTTTGTATTGCTTGCTTTTACAAGTATTAATTAATTTATCCCCACGAAGTTTTTTTATTTTTTTTATTTTACTGTGGCTGGAATTTGAGTGTATAGACTATAGACTATGGAGCTATTTTTGTTGCAGGCCAAATTCTATTGGTTGAACTGTATTTAGCATCATAATATTCAGGGGCCATTTGGTTTCCATGGGGTAATCGGAATGGAATGAACAAAGGGAAAGAAGAGGAATGGAATGAAAAATCCCCAAATTTACTATGTTGTTTGTTTTGTATAACAAAGGGAAATAAGCCACCATTCTCACCACCACACCTCGCCGCCCCTCCCCTCCCCCGAGAAACTCTCCCATCCTTGCAAAAACCCTAAATCTAAATTTTTGAATTTGATTTTTGGGTTTTGAATTTGTGATTTCTACTACGATTATTTTCTGATTGAGATTTGCTTGTTGAGTGAGTTGATCAATCGTCAACAATGGCGCTATAATTGGCACTGAAGCTGCTATATCATCATCATCTCCGTCGGTATTCTCCGCCAATGAATGTCGTCTCGTTTACGCTGATTTTGTCGGTCTTTCAAAGAAGCATTCTTGTCGCCAAAGAATCGTTGGAACTTGCCAAAATTTTCTAGGGTTTCTGTTTATTCGTCGGCGATTAAGGCGATTGTTGATGGCGTTTACCGTGTTCATTCCTCGGGATGGGGGAGGGGAGGGGCGGCTATGGACGGGGGAGCTCCGGCGAGGGACGGTGGAGGTGCGGCGAGGGTGGCGATGGTAGGGTAGGATGGTGGTTGCTGGTCTGGGTATGGTGTTGGACTGTTGGTGTGGTGGCTAAGGAAAGGGAATGGAAAAACTTGGGGAGGTGGGAAATCAAGTTGGAAGGATTTGGGGTAATAGAGAGGGTAAAGGGAATGAAAAAAAAGTGTCTAACAAACAACAACAATGGGAATCAGGGCCGTTGATTTACATTCCGTTTAATAAATACCCCCACCAAACGACCCCTCAATAATTAGTTTTGCCTAATACGGAGTATAACTGAGGACATAAGAGATGGAGGGATGGTTATTACCTCCATCTCCTCCCCCCCTCCAAATGGTTGGGGGTTCGATTCTCATCCCCCCATTCCTGTGATAGGGTGAGGGACCTCCCGTATAAAAAAAATAAAAATAAAATTCAAAGTATAACTTCTGCTAAAAAAAAATTGTTCTTTGATGAACTTAACTTTAGTTGATGAAAATTATTTGTATTGTGGACTGAAATTGACAAGGTAATTCATTATTTTTATTGTTGCGTAAAGAGAGCATCAACGGTAGTGAAATAAAAGGGATTTGATCTCAAACCATGCAAAGTTGTAAGTTTTAAAAAAACAGTTTTAAGTTTTAAAAAAACAGAGTAGTCACTATTGTTTGCCTTTCAATCACATATTAAAGGGAAAAATTATGTTTTGTTTTTAAGGAAAAGGTACCTACAAGAATGCAACAACGTGAACATAATTTGGCTTCACATGAGTTATTGGATTCTTTTTTTTCAATGGGATTGGTATCAAATATTCTTTCACTTTGTCTTTGAGTTTCGATTACATATGTTACAACAATCGAAATATATACTCGAACGAGGCAACTAAAATAATGTTATTTTCTTTTTACATAGAAAGCAACATCTTTTGAGGGTGAATTATTTTTATTTTTTTTTAAAAAAAAAAATTGTACTAGCTTTCCAACACTTCAAGAGTTTAAGTATTTTTTTTCCTATGAAATTTACAACTGTTCATACCATAGAGTAGATTTCAATAGTTGTCTTTATTTCACACACACAAAAAAAAAAAAAAAATAGTTGTCTTTATTTTCAAGTTTTATACCTCGTGAATGTTACAGCTTATATGGGTTACAAACAAATACAAGTATGGTTAGACCCGTGCTCAGATTCATTTTTCTCCAAATGATCCAATCTTAACTTGGATCCATCATCGGGTCTAGATTTTGAGGATTTATACTTGTGAAAACGGATCTGGATTCATTAACCTGAATTGGGACTAAGATCCACTGCCATCTCTAACTCTCTAAGCATGGGTCTCCCTATTTTCAACTCTACATTCAACCCGAAAGGAGATGGGATGGAGGATTTGAATTCATAACCTGTGTTAGTTCTTAATACTATGTTAGTTGACCAATTCAACTAAAAGGTTAAACTGAATTAAAGAGCTAATTCAACCAAAAGATTAACCGTATCCAATTGTTAAACAAAATTTATTTAATACGTCATATTTAAAACAAACGTTACAAGAAAAATAAATCTAAAGTGCAAGATAAATTTATCATTGTTGTTAAATCCCAGAGGAGAGTGGTCGTAATAACAGATGTAGAAGCATTCGCAAACATGTACATCGTCAGTTATGCATTTTTCCCCAAGCATGGAGGCTTTCTGGGTGCTTTTTCCCACAGTAAATGCCACAAGGCACCTTCGAACATTTGAAGGGTAACGCTGCCACCTTCTCATCCTTGCATATTTTCGTCCATTTGTAACACTCACCTGTTACGTATGCGTAAACATTCCAACAATTAATAATTGATTTTATTATGACTTTTATATGATGGATATGTTCACAACAATGTTACATGCATGCCAGATTATTGCATTAAAATTTGAGCATTTTATTATTTTATAGGACTGTGAAAGTTGACTCGGTGAATAACACATCACATTTATTCTGACAAAAATTGTAATATGTCAAAAAAAAAAAAAAAAAAAAAAAAAATAAAAAGGTCAGATTTTTGCTGGTATATATATTGTATTTCGTATGTAGAGAGCATATTGCTACCATAACCAAAGAACTTTTACCAGCCAATGACAAAGTTTGTATCTCACAACCACTCAAACCCTATTAGTGACACTTTGGGGGTGGGAATTCCCTTACCCTCCCCCCAAAGTGTCTAGTCTGTTAATTTGGGGTGGAAGGATTTGTGAGAGGTTTCGGCTCTACAAGGCCTTCTCCTTACCGACAAAAAAAAAAGAACTTTTACCGGAAACAAATGAAAAACCTTAACTGGGAATTTCGTATTCATTTACCTGTTTGGAAGAAAATCATAAATGCCATGAGAAGGTACAATGTATGGTTTCATCTTTGGTATAGATAACCTGTGTTGTATATGCTTCGTAATTTATAATCAAGCAACAATAATAATATTTTTCTTTTTTAAGAAAAGAATTAGAAAAAAAAATAAAAAAAAACTTTTACATGGACTATGAAGCGAAATCCTATGAGGATATTGTGAAAGGTATCTTGGAGATATGTTTGTGAGAAAATTGGTGGACCGAAGTGTTATTTGTGTAATAGTCATGTATGTTTTTATAGGAAGACATTACACTTAGGGGTTGTTTGGTTGTGAATAAGAAAAAGAGTGTAACAAACAAAAAAGTTGGGAAAATGTGGACTAAATAAAAATAAATTATTTTTATTTGATATTAAACGAGGATTAAATGTTACATAGCTTTTGTATGGTATGAGATGAAACTGTATCTTGAATACTTAATAGTTAATACATTGACTAAACTGCTCGCCCATATTATTTCTTTCTTATTAAGACAAAAATGTATTTTTCCTCCTACTTTTGGAGGGAACTTACAATATAAATTAACGTATTAATTATCACGATGTTACAATTACAAGCTAAAATAATGTTCTTAATCCTTATTAAATATTCTCATGGGCCACATGGATAGTTAAAATTTTTTAGAAATTAATTCCAAAGAGACGACCTATAAAATTCGATTAAGCTCGACTTCAGCTCGAGCTCATGTTTTTTTCTTATAAGCCTAGCTTGAATAGACTAATACTTAGCTCGACTCGTCGACAGTTAGACATCCCTAGTGGAGCAACATGTTTATTGTGTTTGAGCTACAACATGGAACACATAAGCCACAAGCCACTTACACCATAAATGTCCCTTAGAGGGATTAATTAAGGTTATGTTCTATTCAAATTATTATAGTAGTAACTTCTTTCAAGCAAAATAAGTTTGAGGATGAAAATTCTTTTACCTTTTGGCTACTTCGAAATCCTAAATAATCTTAAATTTTTTTTTTTTTTTTTTTTTTGAAAACACCTAAAGAATCTTACTCGTTACTTTGATCAATCAAATTAAACTAATCCGTAATCAAGATTTCAACCAATAGACCTTCAACTTACCTTAAAAAAACCAAAAAAGTTTCATCGAAAATTTACTGCAAGTGACATTCTATTCTATCTATCCAATGTTCCACAAGACCACAACTCCATATTTCTCCTCTTTCCCTCCATAAAACCCCTAAATTTCTCAAACCCCTTAATTGAAAATGGCAACAAGTGCAGCAATTGGGATTCTTCAAAACCCTATCAATCCAAATTATTTTACCCATTTCTCCATTTCTTCTTCACCCTACTCTCCAATTTCATCACACCCATTTGTAGCATTTCAGAAATCTTACATCAAATACAAACCCAACCTCAAAATTACCTGTAATTCATCCAGACCCCACAAAAGATCTGTTTCTAAAGGATCAAATTCCGAGGCATATGAACTTGTTCGTGGGATTTTGAGGAATTTTAGTGATAAGGAACCCATAGTATCAACATTGAACAAATATGTTAAGTTTTTGAGGACGGAGCATTGTTTTATGCTGTTTGAAGAACTGGGTAAAAGTGATAAGTGGCTTCAATGTCTCGAGGTTAGGATTTCTGGGTTTTTGTTATTTAATTTATTAGAATTTTCTCTGATTTTATTGTAGATATTGTTATAGAATTATAAAGTTTGGGAAATTTGATTATTGTTGATTGCACTGAAGATAAAGAAAATATTTTTCTAATGGGTAATTCATCAATCTCTGTCTCACTTTAATTTGCCACATTGCTCGAAATACAATGAGAATTAGCATCTTATTAATCATGATAACAAAGTTCTAAAAAAAAAAAAAAAGTAAGAGTAATTCAGGTAAATTGTAATTTGATGAATATGAAAAGGGTTCTTATGTTGTGACATCGCAGAAAAGATATGTGGCCTATAAAAGTGGAATGGTTGGAGTAGTATTTATTTTATGGATGATGTAGTTGTTGCAGTTGCTAATGGTACTATCGTACAGCAATTTGATGTTTAGTTGTGATATATAGATCGTTTTGATATTATTGAATATGAAAATAAGTAATATAAACTACTAATTTTGCTCAAAGGGGCTGTTGTTGTCTTCTGTAATCATTTAATTGTAATCATGGCTGCTATGTCTTTAAGGTGTGAAAGAAAAAATTAGCTGCCAGGGTTTAGGAATATTATATAGGTCCAAAAGGCTATATTTTCCTTTTTAAAGACTTTTTCTTGATTCTAAGATTGTTGGTTTCGTGCTAAGCATTGTCTATGGACATTCATTAAGCTTATTTTTGATAGTGTTTTGGATTTGATGTTCAGGTCTTTAGATGGATGCAGAAACAACGATGGTATGTTGCAGACAATGGTGTATATTCGAAACTGATTTCAGTTATGGGAAGGAAAGGTCAAACTAGGATGGCAATGTGGCTTTTCTCTGAGATGCGTAATAGTGGGTGTCGGCCTGACACATCTGTTTACAATGCGCTCATAACGGCACATCTGCATTCTCGTGACAAGTCTAAGGCCTTGGAAAAAGCTCTTGGATATTTCAATAAGATGAAGGGGATGGAGCGCTGTCAGCCAAGTATCGTGACGTACAATATTCTTTTAAGAGCGTTTGCACAAGCACGGAATGTTAATCAAGTTAATACACTGTTTAAGGATCTTGAAGAGAGCTTAGTTTCACCTGATGTCTTTACATTCAATGGTGTGATGGACGCATTTGGGAAAAATGGGATGATCAGAGAAATGGAAGCTGTATTGTCTCGCATGAAAATCAATCACTGTAAGCCTGATATAATCACATTTAATCTGCTGATTGATGCCTATGGAAAGAGACAAGAATTTGAGAAGATGGAGCAAGTTTTCAAGAGCTTGTTACGTTCTAAGGAGAAGCCAACTCTTCCCACATTTAATTCAATGATTGTCAATTATGGGAAGGCACGACTTCGGGAGAAAGCAGAGAATGTTTTCCTTAATATTACCAATATGGGATACACTCCTAATTATATTACATATGAGAGTGTCATCATGATGTATGGATTATGTGACTCTGTTTCGAAAGCAAGGGAAACATTTGATGGGATCAGTGCATCTAAAAAGGAATTGAAGGTGTCAACATTAAATGCTATGTTGGATGTTTACTGCTTAAATAACTTACCAATGGAAGCAGACATACTTTTGGATAGTGCACGAGATTATGGTGTCCACCCAAATTCTTCAACTTACAAGCTTCTTTACAAAGCCTACACGAAGGCAAACATGAAAGATCTTTTACAGAAGTTATTGAAGTGTATGGACCAAGATGGTATTGTCCCTAATAAGAGGTTTTTTTTGGAAGCTTTAGGAGCATTTGGGTCATCAACAACTACTAAAAAATCTGCTTCTGGAAATGCAGATAAGAGTAGAAATACAGATAGTAGAAACACAGATAAGAGTACAAATACTGATACAATGCATACGAGTATAAATACATATACAAGTATCCAACAGGCAGCTGGAAAAACATAATTGTGTATTATTCTATGAGACTTCAGTCATCTGCTCTATAGGCTCCAATGAATTCTGCCTATTCATTTAATGTTGGAAAGACCACTTGAATACTAAAGGTCTAAAGTGAGTCTTGGTTCCAAACAGCTATCATGCCAACAGCAATGTTTTTCCTTCGATTTAGGGGTATGTATATTTCCTTGATCTATTATCTTCTATCGCTTCAAGCTAGCATTTTTGTTTTTGGAAAGCTGGCTACGTGTCTATGTGCATCAGTGTTGATGTTTTATTTACATTTTTTTAGTAAAAATTGTCTCTCTGCTTCAATAGAAAGTACTGGTTCAACAAAGTGTTTTTTTGTGAGATTATGCCCTGACACTTGTATATTAATACTAGTAGTACTGAATTGCCAAATTAATTTACAATGAACGTCAGATTGTAGTGTTTCACAGGTTTTCAGGGATTATCAAAATTTACTGTTAGTGATGTTGGGAATAAAAAATCATCTTCAATATCTCAACTAGAAACAACAGATATTATGGATTATGTAACATTGATGGACTCTTCATTTGGCCTACATCTACACTGCAAACATAAGCATCTCTGGCCTATGATCTTACATATTCAATTATTAAAAATCTTTGTCTTCTGTAGTTAATGTGTTAGTTCATTCCTTCATATATTCAATTTGTCTCCTTCAAGACCCAGCTTTATGAACTAAAAGGTCTACCTAGGCCTTGTGGAGTTTTGAGTCATACATACCTCTCTTAAAGATGACATACTTCAAGCTTGATGTTTTGCATCCAAAGCTTCTCATTTTGATTATGTCTCATTGGATCTCTCCAGAGTCAGGACTCTTCCCATTATCTCATATAAAAAAGTCTGGCAGAAAACCCATATATGTAAATTTTCAAACCCATGCCTTGTTTGTTGGCTTGTTGCTAACTTTCAAAACTGTGATGTGTCCCCAAAAGATTAACCACATATTGGAATTCTTTCATAAAGGTATACAATATTGAGTAAACAAAATAAAGAAGTGCAGATTGGTAAACATTATATTCCTTGTGTCATATTGTCCAATTTCCCATGTCTATTAGGAATTGAGACTAGGGATATCAGTGATATCCATAAATTGGGAGCATTTTTAAAGAGATGCAAGCATTTTCTGTTACTAGGAGCCATCCTCAAAATTTATGAGACTACGACCTTAGAAAACCATTTTAACAGGTTAAAATTAACTGAAAATACTTCTCATGATTTTGCTGCCGCAAATATAAGCTGGCTTGTATCAGTAACGGCCTACTCTAGTCACAAATCTGAATGTTTCTTTCTTCTTATCTGTTCTGTTCATCTTGAGTCATGGTATCATGGGTCTAGTATCTAGCACTGTAGAATTGCTATCACTACATTGCATACAAGTTTTGCTTTTGTTCTTAGAATCTAGGACTGTCTTTTACTTGCTTCATCCTTTTTGACCTTTTTTCTATTCTTTATCTTGTTTACTTTTCATTTTTAACCTTGGTTCTAGGTCATTTGTCTTTCTCATCTATCTGGAAAAGAATTTTGACTAGAATGGCTTGCTTTTCAGATTTCATTTGAGAGGGGTATTAAATCTGTGGTGTAAGGTCTAAGCTTTGTTTGGACATCAATATGAAGTTGAATCATGTTCATAGTTTGCTTGTATCCAGCATGCAAGATTTACATGTATGGTTGAAGGAATTAAAGGCAGATGTTTTTAGCTGGTCAATGCTTGGTTTCTGCTATGTTGCAGGCGGAATACTACAGTTAGCACTCAGGACACTGAAGTTTAGATTTTGTTTTCTCAAGTGAAGAGACTGAAGCATAAGCTGCCATGCTATATGTCATATGCTGGTTGCCAAAACTTAGCATGATGATGAAATATTGACATACCAGAAACTTTGAGTTGTGATTGAGCTTGGTGAGGGTTCTTTTTTCCTTTTACATCTTAGTCTCATACCAGTTGGACAAGTGGATAAGTGATGTGAAGTGTTTTACATCTACAACCAAATTTTTATGTTGATCATAGACTGTTCATTCTCTTTTGACCTTGTCTAGAAACCTTTTCCATTATGTTGCTTTATTTATCTGCCCTATCATTTAAATGTTTCGTCAATTTTCCTATATATGACCTTACGTCCTGTAGGGCTCATGTGGTGTTTCCATGCATATTCTACTATGCAGTTTGAAAGCAGTTTTGGATGTTATGCCCCAGGAAAAAGGTACAGCATTTCATGTTTGATGAGTGGCTGAGCCGCTGAGCTTTGGATTTTGGGCTTTGCCCAAGGCAGAAGTTTGTCTTGGAGGATTAACGATCTTCCAGATTAGCATCTGATTGGCAGACGAGCCAGATCCACAGGTGGGCATAAACTGCAGCAAATACAGAAATTCACCAGTTAAGATCTATCCTGGACATTTAAAATTTTAAAGGCAATCGATCTATAAAGGAAAAGCTATAACTTTATCATTCTTGTGTAATTCAATGATTAAGAGATAGAAAATAGTTAACTGTGTAAACAGGTTCTTTATATTTTGATCTGGGTTATTGTCTATTGAATGTTATCGTAATGTGCTTGTCTCATTTTTCCTTGGCCATTGTTATACCATTTGTTGCAGTGTTGGCTCAGTTCATAGGAGGATTGGGAGCTTCATGTTAGAACTGTCATTATGACGCAGAGTCCAAGTTCAAAGGGTGGCAGGTTAGAGCCTTTTCTTCCTCCTACCAATATGAAAAAATAATTATAATAATAATAATGGCAGATTTTAGATAATCAAAATAAACCATTCACATACGGTATGACAAAGTCCCCTGGTGAGGACTGAAGGGTCTTCAGTGTCTTCCCACGCTACCTAGCAGAACCTATACCCTAGATGGGTTGATACAAGTTATACAACCAATCATAAATTCATAATACACATGACCTCATGGTCAAGAGCTCAATTCACTAAGATATGTAGCTTATAAATGTATGTTTTTTTGTAAGAAAATTTTCATTCCATTCTAAGCACTTTTTTATTTATTTTTGTATAAGACTGAACTCTGTCGTCTCTCATCCATCTTTAAGTTAGAGGCGGTTTTGAGTTATAATGGAAATTTAAGAAAAGAATATACATATAGGAATAAACTGTATACATTTCATATTAGTATCAGTCTTTCCTTGCAAAATCAAATATGAATGCTAAGTTAAATACGAGTATGAATAAATATGAATATATAAACTCATCACCATCATCTTTATTAGTTGAAAATTGTCTACCAGATGAACCATGTAGAGCCAAAAAACATGTCATATGAATTGTAATGCTATCTTCCAAGACCAAGTGTTAGTGAATTACTAGTATAGTTGTATGAGTAAACTACCAAGTGTGATTAAGATTCTTATAGTCAAATAGGATTATAAATTAATTAAAAGCTCCAATTTGAGGAGTTTTCACACATGCAATCTGTTGGGTCAAATGATATTTTTTTTATAATTTAAGGAGTGGGATAATTGTCGGAAAGCTAACAACTCCCCCATTAATCCATTATAAAACGCTCCAACAAATAACACATAAAGAGAGCATTAAAGAAAACACTAATAAAAGTCTTAAAGGAGGAACATTATAAACCTAAGGCAATTTCAATTCTTTTTGGAAAAGAACGAGGATCAGTTTAAAGGTGATGAAGAACATAAGTGTAAATACAATAGGGCATATTAAGCAGCGCAACTCCCTTGCAGTTTATGCAACGACTTCATTTTGGGGAACCTTTGATAGCTACCGTGCATCAATCAACAATATCATCGACTCCGATGGCCCTCTCAGCGCCTCCCACCCAGAGTTGACCATTGTTAATCATCATGTAAGTCTCTCCTACCTCTCTCTTTCTTTCTTTATTTCTCCTACAGTGGATATTGTGATTTTTAACTACGCTTAATGAACTTCTTAGTACGTGTGATGATTGTTGAAACGACCTTTATTTGAAGTAGAGTGATGATGATATAATTGTATAATTGAACAGGTTGAGTTCTATAAGGAGAAAACGATTATGGGTACGCGGAAACTCACAGTGAGGAAACCCCCAAAGCCAGTAACCAACAGTGGGAAACCTGGCCAACATCACTAGTGTGCTCCTTGATAGTTATTGATTTGAGGTTCAAGTTAGGATTCCATCTTGAGAGAAGATTGTCCCAACTTTGAGGTGTGTTTTCCTTTTCGAAGATATAAACTTGTTGATTCGAGAAGGATTTGTAATATTAGAGAATCCCTTTTTAAGACTGCATCAACTTTGTATAAGTAAGTTTTGGATTGTTATAATATGCATCCAAGCATATCTATGAGGACAATGAGGTACTAATACCTTGTTATCTTAATTTATGAGAAACATATTGAATATAACAATGCTTAAACCTTGGGTCCATCAGATCAGAGTTCATACTCTTACCAATCACCACTAGTCCACAAGGAAAATATAAAAATTGTGGAGATAACACCAGGCTAAGATAAATTATATGTTAATATATTGTTTATTTGCATATATTAGTTGATTAATTAGTTATTACTACCACCACTGAATGTTGGCCAATTCCTAACAAACCATCCCGGAATCAACTACAGGTTCTTTCTCCTCTCGCCCAAATATTAGATGTCTTATTCACTTTCTTGCAAGTATCCACAAGTTCAAATTTACGTATTTTTATGTAAGAAAACGCATATAAAAAGTGGATTTTTTGTGTTACTCAATGATTTATAAACTCTCATACTTGTGGACTTTTTTATTTGTTGGGGGGGGGGGGGGTTTGCTGCAAAGTTTTTGTTATCCATAGAATATTGTACGAAATATTTACAATGACAATAGAATCGGATTTAATAGGAGTAGATCTATAATAAAAAACATAAATTTTGCTTCAAACAATTACTTCATACTTTCTTTATTTCAAAATAGCTTCAATGGTACTATTTTGCAACTATTTTGAAGTCTACACTAATCAAAATTTGACAATTTTTCATCAACATACAAGAATATATAAAATGATAAGATATCTTGTTAAATTTATCTCAATTTATATTCTAAAATATCAACTTGTCACAATTAACTATGTATTGAAATATAGTTAATGATGTTAGTGATGATCAAAGTAGTGGATGAAATTAGAGGGAAAAAAAAAACACTATATTTTGAAATATAAAAAGTATACAATATTGTTATATATACCAATTATCCACAACTTTAATTATATGCGTGGAATTATTCCACAACATCATCATCATCTGATCAATTAGTCACACCCAATACAATATATGTTTTTTTACATTTTTTTGAGAGAAAGAAAAAAAGAAAACGATGTTGAGATAGAATTATGTGAAGATATGATAATTATGTTAATATAGCATTATTTGATCTTAGCCAGATTATTTTCTAAGGTCATCATATATTTGTACGCTATTTATATTCTTTGCCATCACATGAATGAATACAAGCTTGGCCTCCCAAATACTTTACAGACAGCTACTACATAAAGTTGTCAAGTTGTGCATAGATAATGAACTAAACTATAGTATTACAGTATTAATATCAAATAATATCGTACACTACTTCATTGTGTATACTGTTTTCTAGTAGCTTTCTTCATAATTTGCATTTTAAAAAAGTTTCGATTTTTAAAAAATACAATAATAATACATCGCATGTGATGCTGGAAATTAATTAATAAACTACTGATTATATGATTTAATAAAGATTAAATCAACCTCCATAGAATAATATGATTAATTGATGATGCATCAAACTGAATTGATTAGAATTTTGCTCTTCTTTATAATTGGAACCTGCAACTACCAATAATACCTTGTGAGAGTAATAATCTATACTAATATATTAAAAGGCGTTCCTAACTAACTATGTGTCACGTATACCCTTTCACTCACGGCCTCACGCCGCGTCACCTATTCAAACTCTCAACTCAATCGGCTTTAATCATTATACCACGTCACTACTAAAATACACATAAGGAGATTCGAACACCTAGCCTCTTATAGGAAAGATAGTTATTTAACCATCTAAACAAATTAGCAAACATGTTATAAATATGAAAGTAAATGTATATAATTGAAAATCACAAGGACTAATAAAAAAAGGAAAAAAAAATACACCAAAAATATTAAATACATATAATCACAAAGTTTAATTAAACTAGTAACCCGGTGCAACGTCCGGGCCACACACTAAGCTATACTATCTCAACATCTCATGACGCCACGTCAGCTTTAACAATCTTAATTATTACGCCACGTCACTGGAAAAACCAACATTACTCTCTATAAAAATATAAGGTATAGGAGATTCGAACACCTGACCTCTTATAACAAGGATGGCTATTTAATCGTTTAAGCCAATCACCAACCACGTTATCAATATGTACAAAAAAGGTATATAAGTGAAAAGCACAAGGTTTAATTTTTAAAAAAAAATTAAGATACTCAAAGGATAAGCTCAATAAGTATTCAATGTAACTATTACCTCATACCTCCTAAGGACAAAAGGATTGTCAAATTTATCTATATAAGTATAATACATGAAAACTATAATACAATAATATATAATAACGTATGACCCGAGACATCGCCCGAGCTAAACACTATTAACTCTATAAAACTCTATAAATCATGTGAGAAGTAGTAGTAATAATATAAAACTCTTCGACCAATTAAGTATCACCTTTTTCCGTTTCAATTAATGTGTATATTGAAAATCATGCTATTAGACTTGTAAATTATTTTATAGCGGTCATTTTTTTTTTATTATTATTAATTAGGGTCTATATCTTATGAGAAGTTTACACTGTGATAGTCATTTTTCAAATGACCGCTATAAAATCATACTTTTGTAAGAGTCTAAAATTTGTGTATCAAAAGAAATGCATACATTTACAATTCCATCCAATCACAACACACCCTTTTCATTAGGGTATATATCTAAGATAATTAAAGTTGTAGAAATTGAATTATTCTCTTCGGAAGATCATTAATTTGTTTAGGACTTAATACCATGTACCTTTGGATCCCGTCCTTCTAGGCCATGAGGCTAATGCATCTTGGGTTTATGATATATCGTTTGAAAGCTAAGGATAATGGGCTAATAGATTTTGGGCTATACTAATAAGAATTGGTATATTGACAACTTGATCTAAGGTCATCCAAAGCTTATTCGGCCCAACGCACCCACTAAGCCTACTAGGCCCACTAAAAGCCATCTTGCATGTTTATTTGTACATGTCATTAGCCCATTGAGAACTAGGTCATTACAGTCTTCCCATTCTATTGAATGATACAACTCATACAAGTGAGTCTTATATGATGTGATTGTCTTTGGATAAAAACCTAACATTTTCAAATTCATTCTTGGATATATTGTTTGAGTATTGTTTTGAAATAAATTTGGTTGCTTGAATTGCTGGAATTTTTAAATAAAACAAAATCAATAATTTGCTGGAACTACGGTAATTAATAATGTAATTAACTTATCATTTACTCTTAACATTTTTGTTAATTCATATTAACCAAAGTTTAAAACTCGATGATAATGCATATATATTATTATCTGACTTTTTCTCATCACGTGTCACCTTTACCTTAGCTCATGGCACGGTATATAAATCATGTTATACATACAGTACAAGTATACAACTATACACGTTAAGTGACACTATATTTGTTTCGCCCCATAGCATAAAGTCATGTGGTTGTAATTTAAATATCGTTCAACCATTATGTAATATTGTCCTAATTAAAATTAAATGATGCTAATACTAGTGGTTAGTACTAATCAATAATGTCTTGATTAACTTGGTGTATAACATATTAAATTATTAATGTACATTAATTAGTAATCACTTGCTCCATCGACTTCAAGGCATCGTGCAAAGCGAGGCACAACTGAAGATATTAACAGCAGATAGCCTAATTAGACTATCAAGTTATGCAATTTTCTAAAATAAAAATCTCGACTCTGCCATGCCCCTAGATCTAGATTTGTACTTCTTTGTTTTTATATTACTTCGGATTTATCTACAATTCTATTCAATTTTTTTATTAAAAATAAATAGGTTGTCTTGTACTGTTGTTGAGTTGTTGTAGTTTGTACCAAGTGCTTGAATAATGAATTGTACGGACTATATAGATGTATAGAGTTTTTGATTTTAACTCAATTATAATTTTATTTATTTTTTTATTTTTAATTATCAGGGTAAGAAAAAAATCCACTCAAATTGAATATATGCTGTTTGCTTGTAGCATGGTAAAAATTATTTACTTTGTATTATAATACACGTCCGATGAAGTCAAGGATACAACTGGTCAAATTATTTGCTTGTAATAAGTGTCAGTCGTTCAAAACTTGATATACATTAATGTTATTATAATGTCCATGTAAATAATTTTATGAAGCTTCAAAATCATATTTTTAGAGAAAAAGTGAAAGAGGAACATAGCGATACAATAACAAAAATAACATTTATGTAACACTACTACTGTATTTCAAAAATAATATCAGAGTGCCAAATGAGTGGTTTTATGCCCATACTTTGGTCTTGTAGCTAGTTTGCCAACTCTATCAAACAAATTGCAATACTATTGATGGAATACAAATTGGTTAAATATTATTTCCAACATAACTTTGGCCAATTGACAGGACTTGAATTAATCAAGATTTATCCTAAATCTTATTGTTCAAGGTCCTAGATATTATTAGAAACATTATTAATCTCTATTCGAACTAGTATAGAGATTATCTATTCATTTATTTTTTACTTCGTCTAATAATTTAAGCTTAATATAAAAGTTGTGGGATAACTCAAAATCAATAATTCAATATATCAGTAAACTTTGTATTAGCTATTTTTACGTCTTACAACTATAAATCTCTAAAACATAAATTATTACTCAAACCATATAATAAGAAATAGTCATATAGGATAAGGTCTATTTTAATTTAGTTATACACTTTTTACGTAACAGTAATATGCATGCATGTGCTGGTGGCCTAGCCCGGTAATAATCTATACGCCTTGATTATTTCGTACTCTACTTCGTATTTACAGAGTATATGGTTGTAATAAGATACGAAGTATTTTACTATAGTATTTGGCGCATTATAATATTAGTGATCAGATCTAAAGAACATAGAGTTATATAAATCATAGAATTTTGCTACTATTTTCAGGAGGCTCTTCACTGTTGTGTTCTATCTCCCTTTCTCCTGATTACACAACACTAATATTGTAAGTCCCTCTCTTTCTCCCTTTATCGAGTCAGTAATATATTTTCGTAGTTTATTTTACTTGCAACATATTTTCTTGGTATGTACAATACGTGGATACCGTGCCCTGTTTATAATTAAGCCAGTCATTGCATTATTGAACCTTGAATTTTTATAGTAGAGATATAAACAAGCATTTGATTCATTAATGAATCTCTTTTAATTTCGTTATATATAGTACGCATATAACCTAGTATCAATCAATGAGCCTCTTCTTTGTGTAGTACAGATGGACAAAATTAAGAACCTTCTTTAATTTCTCCATAATATGGTAAATAGGCATTTTTTCACTAAATCAATCTCCTTTCTTCGATCCATTGTACGTATAGACATGTATCATTGTAGGTATCAATGATCAATTCATCGATGAATCTCGCTCTTTTTTGTATATCCTTTTTTTTTCCTTTTCCTTTTTTTGACAGAATTTGTATATCTATAGACTATAGTACGTATAAACATAAGCATAAAACATGTACTAGGTTCATTATTGAACTTCTCCATCAAAGAAATTAAAAAAAAACCATTAGGTTTACAAGTGAATTAATTAACCCCTTTTTCCTTCCTATTTTTTTTTTTTTTTTTTTTTTTGGTGAAATCTTTTCTTAATTTTATGGATAAATAAGAATTAGATTTATTGATGAATTTTTTTAATAGCTAGAGAAAATTAAAGCTTGTCAATGGAAAGACAAAATCAAGGTACTTTTATAGCCTTGAAGAAAAGGAGGATAAGTTAATAATTATTAGAAAACTATTGTGATTGGTGGTAGGAATGGATGGTCATGATTAAACTAAATCAATGGTTAGAATGAGACATCTCACCATAAGAATATACGAATATACTTTCAAAGTTTAAGTTATCTAAAATGTTTCTCTATACTGTCTTCAATATTTTGATTTTTACCACCTTCAAATAACCAAATAATTGAAATTACCACCTCCAAAAAAAAAGATTTACTTTACCACCTCATAAAAAAATTAAACATCAGTTTTACCACCAATCACCTCCAACTAACGGATTCCGTCCAAAAATCCGTTAGTGGGGCCTACCTTGCACACGTGTCGCCATATTATTGGTTAAGTTTTAAAAAAATAAATAAAAAATAAAAAATCCCCATCAAGCAACCGATGGTTGCTGCCACCGTCGGGACCCCCACCGCCGGACCGGCTACAACCAGCCCCACCACCTAACCGTTACAACCAGCCCCCACCACCTAACCGCTACCAGCCACCGTCGGGACCCACAACCACCACACCATTTTCGACCTCAAAACCCTAGTCAACACCTAACAGCTACGACCAACCCCACCACCTAACCGCTACCACCGCACCGCACACCACAGCCGCGCCGATTTCGACCCCCTTTCCACCAATTTCCGACCTCAAAACCCTAGTCAACACCTAATAGCTACGACCAACCCACCACCTAACCGCTACCACCGCACCGCACACCACAGCCGCGCCGATTTCGACCCCCTTTCCACCAATTTCCGACCTCAAAACCCTAGTCAACACCTAATAGCTACGACCAACCCACCACCTAATCGCTACCACCGCACCGCACACCACAGCCGCACCGATTTCTACCCCTTTCCACCAATTTCCGACCTCAAAACCCTAGCCACCACCTAACAGCTACGACCAACCCCACCACCATCCAAACCCAGACCAGAAACAACCGCCACCCAGACGCGAAACCACCCCGACTCAAAACCACCACCACCCACCAGAAACCACGCCAGCCAGACGCGAAACCATCGCGACTCGAAACCACCACCACCCAGACGCGAAACCCACACGAAATTCCAACCAACCGAGGTAGTTGATTTCGTTGCTGGTTGGTTGACATGGAAGATCGGGGAAGATGAAGAAGAAACGTCAAAAATGTGGGCCCTACTAACGGATTCATGGACGGAATCTGGTAGTTGGTGGTAAAATCGATTTTTTGGAAATTTTGGTGGTGGCAAAGTAAATATTTTTTTTTTGGAGGTGGTAAATTCAATTATTTGGTTATTTGAAGGTGGTAAAAATCAAAATACCCTTAAATTTATGAAGCGAGTTTTCAATGTACAGTACTTCGTATACATTATTGTGAGTTGTCTTACATGTTTTTGCCCGCTAGTCAATCTTGACGTGAACTTTTTTATTTTTTTCTACATGCCATCTACAAACAAAAATTCAACAAAAAAACATAATCAATTTACTTTTTGGTCATTTGAAGTCAAAATTTTTAAACTTGGTAATTTGATATGCATGTGAAGTAGCAGATAAACAAACATCAACAATATGGACGCAAATGGCATCTCATCTTCTTGCAACAATGATGACAACATCTCATCTTCTTGCAACAACAACAATGACAACATCTCATCTTCTTGCAACAACGATGACATCTCATCTTCTTGCAACAATGATGAAGACATCTCATCTTCTTGTAACGACGATGACACCCTCTCATCTTCTTGCAACGACGATCCCTATCCTATATCTCATGATGAACAAATCCGAGATATTACAGTTAGATTTGTAAAAGGGAGCGTCTTATTCAATTTTTTCAACCAAGAGATAAAAAATGGTGTAATGGCCAATATCATCCAAGAGATAGAGAATCGTAACCTTAGTATCACCAACTACAATGCTATTCCACTCAATGGTGGTTCAACTTTTAACGTAACTATTGTGGCTCAGGTACGTTTATCTTCGTAGAAATAAATATAAATGCGTATTATAACATTTAGTAAATATAAATGCGTAATATAACTATTGTAGCTAATAATACAACCTTTTTTTTTTTTTTTTTTTTTTTTTGCTTGAATACTTATATGCATTGAACAAGCCAATTCCAATTAATACTTCAATATTATGATTTTATTACTCTTATATACAAGAAATTTTATATACACATCATGCTAATTGGAATCAATAATTGAAAAACACAATGCCAATATTTGCAATTTTCATTAGTGGTAATATCCTATATACATGTATATGTTGTATGTAAGACCTACTATGGTTTAAATAGAAATGTTACTTTAATTTATCTCTAACCCATATGCTAAGCCTTCAAAGGTTATTGATATATATTTATATAATATACATCGCAAATTGTATTGATAACATATTATTTTTCACTCGATTTGCAGAAGGAGCCAAATTTCAATCTAAGCCAAGATGGCCAACAAGATTTTGTGAACTATTTTCTTAACTCCATTTGATTAGATACGTTATATTACTTTATATAAATGGAGTAATTTGTAACCATCTCTCATTGCAGAGTTACGTTTGTGATGAGCATGTTGTGAAATTAAACTCCGTAAATTAATTAATTTCAGATGCTACCTTACTAGTCATCATGTTGATAGTAAGCTAGCTAAGCATGATAGTTGGACTCTTAAGGTTTAATATTGGTGTACAATGTTGAGATCGATTCATCCATTAATTAAGCTACATTTATCATGTTAAACTGTTAGGGGCCATTTGGTTGGGGGTATTCAACAAAGGGAAAGGGAATCAACTGTCATGATTCCCTTTGTTGATGTTTGATAGGCAAATTCAATCATTCCCTTTACCCCTCCCATTACTCCATTTTCCTCTATTTTCATTCCTCACCCCCCCAAGGGAATCACTCTAACCCCAAACTCCTCTTCACCCAACTACCTTGACCAACCTTTTAACTACCTTGACCACCCTCGAAACACCAACTATCCACCGACACCACCGCCCAACCACCACTAGAACCATAATCCCATCCCACCACCGACGCCGACAACCACCAACCAGCCTTCTCCACCCACCGTCGGCGACCGAATCTGTTCCCCAGCCAACCCACCTCCCTCCCCTTCCGGCGTCAACCCACCCCCCTCCCTTTCCCTGCTTTCCGCCATCTCCGGGATCCCCACCTTCTTTAAATGCAAAACCCGCCCCTCCCTCTCCCACCGTCGCCATCTTCTCCTGCACCACTTCAACTCGCCACTAACAATGCTCGCTTCTCCTACAGCTCCAACCAGCAACCCATTCCACCGCAACAACCACCCATTCCACCAGCCATCTTCTCCGCCACAACTACTAATTGCTCCACCAATTCGACCACCAACAATCATCAATTTGAAATTACATCAATTTCGAACTTCGTCTTCAATCTTCGAATTGTGCACCAATCACCATTAATGATCTGAGAAGTGGATTAAGGGAGATTGAGGGAGGAAGAAAAAGGGATGAGGAGAGAGAAAGTGGAGGTAGAAGGTTGGAATTGGAGTTTGGCGGTGGCGTCGCGGCGATTGCGGTGAGGGGAAGGGAAAGGGCTTGGTCGGCAGTAGGATAGGTACTGGTAGGTGGTCGCCGGCATTCAGAGGTGGTGGTAGGTGAATGGTAGATTTAAAGGGTAGTGGTGGTTGACTGGTTGTAGAAGGAGGAGAGTAGTGGTGGTTGCAAATGTGATTCCCTCTGTTTATGTAAAACAAACAACAATACAAAAATGAGGGATTAGCTTTCCTTTCTCCTCCTTTCCCTTTGTTGATTCCATTTCGTTTACCTTGTGCGAACCAAACGGCCCCTTAATTTGTTTGTTGTAAACTATTTGGAATTTCGGATTTTCTTATTCGATTGGTGCAATTATGTTGCATGTTGTGTTGTTGAGGACTTGAGGCATAGCCTTTCAAAACAACACCTACATATCAGTATTCCACATATTGTCATGTTGTTTTGCGATGGAACTTCTTTGGACTGGTGAAATTGACTCTCTCTTAAATTGGTTGCGGGTGCGGCCCAAGCTCATATATACAACCCTAATTATCCTACATAATGATTCAGAATTTCAGATTGGTTTATTCCCATTCAACATACTGCATATAGTTATTGTTTGCTTATTTTCTGTTTCTTTTACAAAAATAAACTAAACCAAATGAGCAAAAATTTGTGCAAATGAGTAAATATTTAAGATCATTGTTATTAAAATTCCGATTTAAATCTAAGAATCTTACGATTCTACGATTCATTTATCATATGATTCGATTTACGGTTCTACCCGATTTTACATATTTCTCTTAATTAACTAGCAAAATCCTTACAAGTTTAGAATATGTCTATATAGTTATTTATAAATATATATTGTCAATTATTAGTTGCTTAATGGATAAATAACTATTTTCTATTAATAATTAGGTTTCAACTCATAATTTAAATATATTTAATTAAATTAGATATAACGGCAAGTCACTCGCGCGTATGCTACCCTAATCACTACAAAATTGCTTTTGTGAACAGACTGAATAGTAAAATTCGAAATATAAATTTTAAATGCTACCTTACTAGACATCGCGTTAATGTAAGCTAGCTAAGAACGTTGGACTCTCTCAATGCAAGTTTGTTAAGACTAGTGTAGCATAGTGGATTTACTCCGATCCCTTAAGAAGTAGTACTTGTATGTATTTTTATATTGAACTGTTAATTAGCTGGTTATAAGCTACTCCGTAATTGGAATTCCGAACTCTAATGCGTTTGGGGTAGTGTTTGTTACATGTTTTATGGGCATTTTTAATTTGTCAAGCCCATATATATCAGCAACTTTTTGGTGCAGCAGGCCATACCGTGTTGCAGGGGTTATACGAGTTATTTTGTTAGGGGTTATCCGAGTTATTCAATCAGGGGTTGCTTGAGTTACTCGGTCAGGGGTTACTTGAGGGGTTCGGGCAGGGGTTACTCGAGGGGTTCACTCGGTCAAGGGTTATTTGAGGGGTTACTCGGTCAGGGGTTACTCGAGTTACTCGGTCAAAGGTTACTCGAGTTACTCGGTCATGGGTTACTCGGTCACGGGTTACTCGAGTTACTCGGTTAGGGGTTACTTAAGGAGTTCGGTCAGGGGTTACTTGAGGGCTTACTCAGTCAGGGGTTATTTGAGGGATTACTCTGTCAGGGGTTACTCGAGGGGTTCGATCAAGGATTACTCGAGGGTTTAGTCGGTCAAGGGTTACTTGAGGGGTTACTCGGTCAGGAGTAACTCAAGTAACCCCTGACCGAGTAACTTGAGTAACCCCGGCAACTCGAGTAACCCCTAACCGATAAACTCGAGTAACCCCTGACCGAGTAACGCGAGTAACCCTTGCCACACGATACAGCAGGCCGCCTACAAAAAATTGTATATATATATATATATATATATATATATATATATATATATATATATATATATATATATATATATATATATATATATATATATATATATATAGGCCTAAATTATAGCACAATAATGTTTATAAAATACACAGGTTTTAAAAAAAAGTGTTAAATGTATTTTGTTTAAGACGGGCTGCTTATACTAATATTGACAAACCTTAACTCTAATCTTATTATACATTTTTAATTAAGAGATCAAAGTTGAACCTGATTATAGTTGCTTTAGACATCATAATTTAAAGGAAATTTTGCAAAAAACCACCTTTTATAAATTTTTTTTGCAAAAAACTACCTTATAAATTTTTTTTTAGCAATGACATACCTTATAATTTTTTTTTTTTGCGAAAACATACCTTTATGCCGGAAAATGGGGTTTGACCCCTTTTTCCGACGTTGACTACCCAAATCACCCACGAAACCACCTCCCTCTCCAACCTCACCCACAAAACCACCCTTTAACGACGTTATCCATCCTAAACCCACCCCTTTAACGACGTTGACCACCCTAAATCCTCCTCTATAGCCCTAGCCACCCTTCTCCCCTCCACTGTCAGCGCTGACACCCCTATCCGTATTCCCCAAACCCTAAATTTACACTTGAACTACCCTAAACCAAGATTTCGCGGGGTGGTGGAAAGAAGGGAGTTTGATTTCGTTGGTGGGGATGAGGAGGGGAGGTGGTTTCGTGGGTGGAGCTAAGGAGGGAGTGATTTTGTGAATGGGGCTAGGGAGGGGGCAGTTTCGTGGGTGGGGTTGGGGTAGTCAACGCTAGAAAATGAGGTTTGAACCCATTTTCCGGCATAAAAGTATGTTTTTGCAAAAAAAAAAATTGATTAAGGTATGTCTTTGCAAAAAAAATAAAATTATAAGGAGGTTTCTTGAAAAAAAAAAATTTATAAAAGGTGGATTTTTTTACAAAATTTCATAATTTAAAATGTTAGACTCTAATAACCCAAGACTATGTATATTAAATATCGATTTTAATAAGCACAAACCAATGTGAATCAGAAATCAAATTGATTTACTGTATAAAACAATTAAAATGAAAAAATCATTTGACTTTATATAAAATTCAAGTCATGAGTCATCTAAAGAGTTGGTAGACTTGAAAAGTAAAAAAAACCTCCGGGCCACTTCACATACCAAAGTCGAGCAAGTAGCCACTAGTATATGTAGACAACCTTTGACATTTTTTAGTACGACAAGATTAGTCAAACTTTAACATTGAGAAACTTTCAACGCGCAGATTCACTGACCAAACTGAACTCCCCAATTAATCCATTATATAAACGTTCCAAACCATATTCATTTAATATTCTAACTCCAAAAGGAGATATCAAACATCTCCAACAAGTAGGATTTGGGAAAAAAATAATAATGAGGAAACCCAATGAAATGAAGAGTTTAAGCGTAAATGCAGATGGAAAATTCAAGCGGAATTATTCCCAACCTGAAATGTATACAAGTTTTTCTCCTAGAACTCCCAACAAGCTCATCATCAGCTCCTCCCCCGACTCTTATTCGTATTCGACTACTCACAATGTAAGTCTTTCTATCGGTCTATCTCTTTCTTCTTCCATACGCGTGGGTTTGTATGCTCTTGAGCACTTGTTAGAAAGTCCGATATTGTATCATAGTAGATAAAGTGTTAGAAGTACTTCGTATAATAATAACAGTATTATATATATATATATATATATACAACGAGTGTATCTTAACGGGTTTTATTATTTGTGTGATTCTGTAGGTTCAGGCATATAAGAAGGAAACAACGCGGAAGCTCAGTATAAGGAAACCACCAAAGCCAAAAACTAACCCGGGGAAACCTGGCTCGCATAATTAATTAGACACTGTATAATCACTATGATTTACATTTGTACATAACAGCTACTCCTAGTTTTTTGGCTCAAGATTTTGATTAGACAACATCTTTATTGTCCTTTTTGATTTGGCCACCCAGACGTTAATAATATGTGTATCTGTGTTCGGAGGGTTGTTGAAGGGTTTCAAACTGAACCCCGGATATATGATACATATACCTGATTATGTACAGTATCATAATTAGGACTATGTTAATGTAAGAATAATATAGACAAATAAAGTTGAGACATTGTTTTGCAAGAAATACAAAAGATCAGATATAACAAGAAACTTTGTTGGCTTTGAATTTTCTATTGACTTCTTTATGGCCGCTGACTTCTAATACGAAGTAATATAATCTAACCAAGCATGTCATGTCTGCAAGTAGCAGCGGACTAGCGGAGT